TAATACAGTTGATCAAATTTAAGCCGCAGGAATAGTCTGAGATAGAGCTTCTCCCTGATGGAATACACGTGTGTGGTCTCATGTTCTGTTGCTGATAACTGTCCAGCCATTTGAACCTCTTTAAAAGCCATGCCTAAACTATTACAAAGAACTTGTAAAATTCTTTTATGGACCAAACAGCTCCGTGTGTCAGACCTCTGGTGTTACTGAGACTGGGGCTTTACAACTCCTCGTGTATCCTGAAGGATGTCAGCAGAAACTTTTAATGTTTTGGCTACTGTAGCCTGTCACCTCTGCTTGCCCAAATCCATAGACAGAACAGGCAAAATAACTGAAGTACAGAACTGCTATCTGACAGTTCCATTTCTGTCTAATGACTGTTCTTTTTTCTTTCAAGGAAGATCTCACAGTTCTAAAATGCGAGTGTAAACACTCTATTCTTCGCATTCCTCCAGATGTCTTTAAAAATTGTGAGATTTCATGGCATTTTTGTTCTCCAGTGTAAAATGCTTATTAGGACTGTCTCTGTTCTAAGAGATAGATTCTGCATCTTGTATGGTGGTGGATTGTGTGCAAAGGCAGACTGAGGAAATGAGACAGTCACTGGGATGAAGCTGTTAAATCCAAAGAATTTGGGTGGATTGCTTGGTGTGACAGAGTTGCTTTTGCACCAAACCATCCCAGGAAGTGGAGCACTGTAGTAGTGTTTAGAACAGACAGTACTCATCATCCTGCCTCAAGTTCTAAAGGGGAGCACTTACTCCTTGTTGTTTCATTTTATAGTTGGAGCAGCTCTTGTGTGGCAGCAAAACAGACACTTGGGATGCAAAGACTTTAATGGAATGTTGCAGGCCTGATCACGGTTATACACATGACAGGTAACGTGGGGTTGGTCTTGTTAAAACAAACAAACAAAAAAACCCAAAAAGCCAAAACCAGTAGAAAATTTGTATTTAAATAACTTTGATATATTGTTATTCAAGCTAAAGGAATTATATAAAATTTATTTGAAAATATTTTTACTGCACTGAATATGAATCTGATGCAATTATTCTAACGATAAACAAAGCAATGTCATCTTGGTTCTTTTCCCTCCTCAGTCGAGCAGTGAAGTATCTGTTTGAAATTCTCAGTAGTTTTGACAGTGAGCAGCAAAGACTGTTTCTTCAGTTTGTGACGGGGAGCCCCAGACTGCCTGTAGGAGGTAGGTTTTCCTTATTACATCTTGCTATATATGAAATCACTATTAATAATGCATTTCAGAGTAAGTGGATTACTTCAGTGTAGGAAAAAAATTATTAGAGGTTCATACTGGTTTGACATTTCTAATTTCAGAGGTGACTGGGTAGACTTCAGGTATAATTTTCATAACCTTTGTGTTAATCTCATGATACTTTATTCATTTGGCTCTCCAGGTTTAATTTGCTACCAGAAAACCTATCAGAGGGCAAAAAATAGTTTGAAATTTAAACAAAACTAAAAGCTCCTAATACTGTATTTCTTTGCTAGAGGTGCATTAAGTTATGTCAACAAAATGATGCATTGCTACCTGGAAACAATAATCTCTTTCCTAGAAAGGAGACAATACTAGCATAGTATTAATTTTATTCACTTTCTCCCCCTTTTGAATTTCAGAATTCAGGTGAGAGGCAGGGAGGAAAACAGAGGAATTTGCTGTCTTTGCTAGGGACCATTGTAGAATACACATTTTACTGTATTCTCAGCTGAACCCTTGGCAAGTAAAACCAGAATTTATGCATCTGTTCCATTACTTACATTCTTTGGGATGTGGGGGGAAGAGTTGACTTTTTTTTTAAAGTATTTTTTTAGAGCTCTTTTATGGAGAGATGGCGCAGACAGAATTGAAGGTTAAGAGTATAAAAACCTTAGCTGGAGGAAAAACAAATAAGGTATTACAGTCATAGATAATTCCTCAGAATCTTAAAATGTGTGTGAAGCCAACAAAGTCTAAGATATTATGATTGGAATAGGGTTTTACATATACAGACCGCAATTAAAAGTAGAGTGGATTCATCTAACTTATTTCTTTTTATAAATTCATCTTGGAAATCTAATCTACAGACAGTATTTCAGGTATTTTTTAGGTTGCTGCGTGGCCTTATTAAGCCATATCCCAAAGCTGTAAATGTGGAGCTGAAGTTCAGCTGTGCCGTGTGTGCTGCTGGTTTTCAAGAGAAGCAACCTCATTCTGACTGTGTTTTCTCATTACCAGGTTTTCGAAGTTTGAACCCTCCCCTGACGATTGTACGCAAGACTTTTGAGTCTACAGAGAATCCCGATGATTTCTTACCCTCAGTAATGACTTGTGTGAACTATCTCAAATTGCCGGACTATTCAACTATTGAGATAATGCGTGAAAAACTCTTGATAGCTGCAAGAGAAGGGCAGCAGTCATTCCATCTTTCCTGATCACAATGAAAAATGCAATGTCTGCCTGTTACAGCAAAAGAGAAACTCATGATTCTTTTCTAAATATATCACCTGAGTCAAGGAAACGTGTTACGCCTTCTTGTTGTAGAAAAACGGCTTGCAGATTATAAACAAAGACACTTGGTTGATATTCATTAAAAGCCCCTATGGACTTAAAGTGATCAGGCCCTAAAAGTTGTTGTGACAAGGTTTCTTTAGCAAGTTCTTGTTTAAATTATCATTTATTTGATGAGTGAAGTTTTTAACTTGCTTTGCTGTGTGAAATTTAAAAAGGGATGTTTTTCCAGGCTGGAACAATAAATGTCGCTGTGCAGTTTAATACTGGGCTGTGTGTATCCATCTAGCTAAGTCTGAAGTTTTTCCTCCAAAGACAACTTTTGTACATAAGTACAGAAATTAAAACACAACATGTATTTGACGAATCTAGTTTAGTAGACTAGTTCTGTGTACCCTCACCTGCCTCTAATTTTACCCATCCTCATGTATTGTCTGATGTGCAATTCACTTGGTTCTTTTTGTGTGCAACATTCAACAATTGTTATGTTTTGGTTAGCATGGGCATTTAACTGCTCCGTGCCTCTTTCTCTGATTAAGATAATTTAAATTTTACTGAAATCAAATATATATTGTCAATATAATTCAGCCTTTGTAACTAGGTAGAACCTTTCTTATAGCATAGTTTTACTGTAGTGGTAGGTTATAATGGTGACAGTTGTTACCAGTCGGCGCTCCAGAGCTGTTTACACAGTGATTCAGGCAGCAAAAGCCTCTTACTGGAGGCGAGGAAGAATTATTTCTTTCATGTAGTTGAAGTCCAACAGCTTGGGCTGGCCAGTGTGTATTGTGGTATGGCCAGAGCATTTCCAATTGATGTAAAGTTTTTTAAAAGACAAATTAGTTGTTCCATTCCCTGTTTGAGTAAACAGTTTTCTTGTTCTTGATCTAAGTTCATGATTAATTTTGTAGTTTTTTCTTCTTTTTTTTTTCTTTTTTTTTCTTCCCCCCCAGTGCTAGCTTGGAACAAGCAGTTCAGCCTTTGTCTTTTGACACAGATAAAGCACCTGTAAGCAATGCTCTGTCCAACTGTTTTATGTGCTGATTTCTCAAATCTGCAATAATTTACTTCATCAGGTTAATGTTTTTACCTGAATATAAATAAAAAAGTTTGCTTCACCTTTTTGTTCATAGTTTTGTACTGTATGCCTAAAGCTCAATTGTGTAAATTACTGTAATGCAAGTAAATCATCCTAAATCTACTTGGCTAACAACCTGCAACTTGTGGATGATTTACTACTAAAACAAGACCTTTTAAAGACCTCCAACTCAGAGGGAAATTTTTTCCTTTCTATGGGTTCAAAAAACGGGCAATTACAAATATTCCTGAGATGTACCTGCTACACAGTTAATCTCTATGAAAATGTGATAGTTAATGACTTTTATTCAACTTTGAGAAATCAAAATTCGTTTCAGTGCTTAGACATTGTTAAATCCTGGCTAATCAGGCTAGTGTTTCCCCTAAACTAACAAGTTTTCTTTTGTCTAGCTGAAGAACCTGTACTTCCAGAACATGTAACGGACATTCTTCCAGTGAACATTCACAGAATTACATGTGGTTGCTCATACCAGTGCCACTGCAATGTAACACAGATCTGTCATGAGCACGAGTAGAACGTGAAATCCTTGCACAAAGAACCTGATAACTGAACAGTTTTTCCTACTCTTAAACCTGACCGAAGGCGCTTCACACTGTACATACAATAATGGTAGCGCACAGTGCGGCATAGCTTTCATTCAACTTCAAGGCAGTGTTTAAACTATGGACTGGTGTTTCAATTGTTCTGATAACTTGATCAAACTGAGCACAAACAAGTGTTTATAGTGTGTGGATAGCAATTTGTTCATTTTCTAAGGTTCTATATTTTAAAAAAAAACTGACTTGTGTAAAAAAAAAAGAAAAAAGCTAATATTTTGTATTAAAATATCATGTGTATTGATATTTTTTTTTACCCATGTTGTCTCCCTCTAGAATCTGGCTTTCATCGACCTTGAAATTTTGAGGAGCTTTCAAATTTGATATATAGCCTTTGTGTAACTTTCAGTGGGAAAATAAGTTGTTGGTTACCTATTTAAAAAGGAAGGAAAAAAAGAGTACCTGTGGTGATGATTTTGGTTGTTCTGGCTGTCATTTTCAGCACAGAGTAAGGATTTAGTTGGCCTGAAAAGTGAATGAAACCCTTTTGGGGACACTTCTTTTTTTCATACCAGGGGCAGCTTGTAATGTATTGGAAAGCAAGTTAGTAAATGAAAAGAATAAACTGAAGAGTCATAGTTCACATGGCTGCAGTACTTTCCTGCAAACAAATGTATCTAGGAGCAATTAAGACAAGTGGAGGGGTGGGGAAAGATGTTAGGGATTCCTCCTTTTCAGGAACTTTGGATTAAGGGAAAAGCTCACTAAAATCAATCCCAGGTGTGTGCAGATGCCAGCTGAGGGCTCTGTAGCCCTCAGAAGAACACATAGTCATCTTAGTACTGCACTGCTTTGTGAGAAGTCTTATCTTTTAAAATAGATGCGTTTTTTTAACATGGTAAGTTCAACTGGTTTTAGAGAACACCACCAGTTACTGTTTTGGATGAGTTTCGTGTCCTTTTAAATTAAGAAGAGCAGCAAAAAATCATTCATGGACGTAAGTGCCATCTAAGCACTTATAGCTGCTACTGAACTTGTGCAGTAATTTTATTTTTGTTATATGTTGGCTTTATACCAGAATCTCTTGTTTAGGGAATGCTTTAGTATCCCATCTGACATGAATTAGTTACACTGCTGCTTCATATTCTGTAGGAAGATGCACAAGAATTAATTCCAGCTATGTGTAAAACCCCCATGCCATTGCCAAACTTAATTGGATATTCAAGTTTCCATATGCAGACTGCTTGCAAAATTGAATTGCTCAGATTCTTTCCCCTCAACCATGTGTCTTATTTTCTTCTATCTTCTTTTCCTTGCTGAGCTGTCCTCCATTGAGAAGGTGGGTGCCTAAGGGCAGGGGCTGGTGAAATTCCAAGTGTCTGCATCACTTGGGCCCTCTCTTTTGGCCACTGCTGGAGATGGGTCTGTCCCACCTGTTTTCACCAACCTGTCTGCACATAAGTAATGCCAGTGCCCATCCTCTGAGCAGCCTGAACCTCTGCAGGAGGCTTTCTAGCAGGAAAGAAAAGTCCAGTCCATTACCCCTGACATGAGGGGTAATGCCTTGGTTTTAATATGAATGTGCCTCCCCCAGGCCAAAGCTCTTTTCTGTTGCTAAAGGTGTTGACAGAATGGAGAATAACGTAAAGCTTTGCTGAAATGGATTAGAATAAAAAGTTTAGAAGGGGAGGCAAAATCTTGCTGATGGTCGAACCTTTTCAGGGTTTGCCCTTTCTTTCTCTTATTTTCCTTTCCTAGTCTCTCGATGGCTTGAACTGGAACAGCTCTGTATTATGTGATCTGTTCCAGTGATTATGCAGGAATTTCACAGCTCTGTGTTCCCAATTGCATTGTGTTTTCAGAGCTTTCCTCAGATGAATGTAGGTGGTTGCCCCAAGAGTAGGAGTAGTTGCCCCACCCCAGTGCACCAGCAGCAGCTGCAGTCACAGTGTTTGATCAGAATGTTCGGTGCATGTTTGTCCAGCAGGTAGGAAACAACTTCCATAGCTCTGCTGCCTGTGACTGAGAGTGAATGGCTCGAGGAATAACTGATGCCTTTAGAGAAATATGGTGTCCTTGTCTCCTGGTGCTGAAGTGTGTGTGTGTATTGATCAGGTATTGAGCTGCTTCGGGGGTGGAGGGAGGAGCAGATCTTGGGTCTCTGCTTTGTGTTCTGGGGAATAATGAAATCTTGGACAGTAAATGGGAGAAGTAAACAGAGGGGAAATGGTCACGGCACATCCAGTATTTTCAAGGCACTAAAGTTTCTGATAGCTCAAAAACTAGTTTGGCAGCAACTTCTGGAAACCTGGTTCAAAGAAGAAAAAAGTAAAGAAAACCCCAAGAAAATGCAACAACAACAACAAAAAAAACCAAAACCCCAAACAAAGCCCAAACCACCCTAGAAGTAATAGGAGAAGTGAAAGTGTCCCCCTCTCCTTCCACCAGCCTCCCCAGAGATGGGAGGAATTCCCAACTCCTGTGATATTTTCCTATATATAAGGGGGGCACTGACCAGTTTGAGCTGCAAGCAGCATGTTGGGGTAGAGCAACATGTGTGTTGTGGGTTGGGCTTTTCTTTGGTCTCATCTGTCTCTGTCCTGTTCCTCCTCCTGCTCCCCCTTTAGTATTAGGCTGTGGCAATTGCTGAGACCCTGTAAAGGACAAAAGTAGGTAAGCCTGGGGGAAAATGTGAGACAGCAACCACCCTACCCTGTTGTCTGAGAACAGGAAGAGGTGGAGGAAGGAGGGTTCACATTGTAAAGGTAAGCTAGCACAATGTATGTTCTTACACAATCTATTTTCTTACACACTGGAAGCCAAGGCAAGTTGATGCTATGAGATACTTCTATGCAGTTATCCCATATCAACAACTATTTCCCAAATTATTTTACTCTTCCTTTAGCTGTTTCCCATAGTTTGTGCTATACTTCTCAAAAAAAAAAGGCAGTATTTAATCTTTATGCCCTCACTTTGTAGCTTGATATGCTTAATTTACTGGAAGTACTGATGTTACTAATCCTTCAGAAAGGTTTCCCACAGTTTTGATATTTCTTTGGTGTGCAAAGGACCAACCCTTGTTCTGAGACACTGAAAGTATAAGTGCTATTCAGAAGGGAGAAAAAATCGCTTTAAAACTGTAATCAAACAGCAAAATTATTCCACTTTTAGTTCTAAGTTAGGTTCTAAGAGTGGCAATTTTAGTTTATGGCCAGCAGTACTGGCTACTTCTGCTGGACCAGATATTAGTGAAAGGGAGAACTGTCTCGAGAGGAGCTCTGCTGGAAAGGGCTGAGCCCTGGGTCAGTGCTGTGCCCTGGCAGCAAGGGAGCAGCAGCATCCCACGCTGCAGTAACAGGAGCACAGCTGGTGAATCAAGGGAAGGGATTATTCCCCTTTGCTTCACGTCCCCAGAGCAGGGATTGTGCGATCTCCCCGGGTGTTTCAAGAGCCGACTGGATAAATCTGTTTGTTTCACTAAAACGTGTTACAATTCTCAAATGAGCTGTGGGTAGAATTGAAAATCAGAACTGTTTGCAGGCATTTACTGATGGCTGAACATCAAACAAAGCTGATATGCATCTTAGTCTTACACTGTTTTGTGCTACATCAGTCCCATCAATTTAAATAAATTCAGTGGAAGAAGTTTATATGCAGAGAGAAAGGTTTTCTAAATTTTCTGATAAAATAAATAGAAATGATAAGGGTCTTTGCAGCTGCAGATTATGAGCAGCCTCCACTTCAGAGAATTCTGCTTCAACTGGCTGAAAATTGCAGGCCTTAATTACTTCTACTTTTCTTAAGGGGTTTCAATTTTCAGAAGTTTTTCTGGCATCTTATTCTGTTTCTAATATTGAATGAATTGGCATTTTTCTGTGATCAGAAACTGTTCTGTCTCTCTGTTCATCTCTGCCCCAGCAGGTAGCTGGTCATTTCCAATTTCTTCCAGAGTCAGGAGTTAACATGATTTGGCAGGAATTATGGAGATGCCATAATTCCATATACAGGGTTTTCTAGAAATAGCAGTTTTCACAGGTATTAACAAAACCCAGCATCCTGAAAACTGCCCTGAAATGGAAAGATAGGTAGAATTAGGAGTATGACATGGACAAAATAGGAAAAAGTTCTATTCCTATCCCATATGTGGAATTTGAACAAGTACTGATGAGGTGAGTGACCACAGCAATGCTGTGTATGTCCATGGTGATGCTCAAGGTGTTTGTGGTCATGTCACATAACTAAGCTTCTGCTTTACTGTGTTAGTGCAAAATTTTAGTGAGACATTCCTGCAAAATGCATTTTCTACCAAAAGCTCACTGTGCAGTTTACAGATTAATGTAACCTTGATCTTGTGAAGTGTATGGGCAAAGGAACAGAGAGTAAGATGCTGTTTGGGATCAGATGCCCAAATCCAGCTGTCAGCAGACTATTTCTGACCAAATTCCAATCCTGGTGTCCAGATGTTTCATATCTGTAAGTCCAAAATAAGGCTTTCAATCGTTCTTCCAAGAGATTTACTTTTTTTTTTTTTTTTAATACAACCATCCTCCATGTCAGCCTGGCCTCAAAAATAGATTCTTGCATCCATGCTGGATCTGAATGTGCTGATGCTTTGTGCTGAGCAGGTCCTCTCCCATCCACATACATCATTCAATGGATATATCAGATCCATTACACAGCTGGCATTTTTGTTTAGGTTTTCATATTTTTGTACTAGTAAAGATAATTTTGCTTATTCCCATTCAGGGGACAGATACACAGACTGTGGCTTGGCTTATGTCAATCATTTCTTCTCTCCATTTGTATTTCTTAGTTCCCTTTCCTCCACCACAATAAAGTTCTTGTCTTCCAATGCTCCAAAAAAGAGCTGCTGTTCCCTCTCCTGTTTATCTTGCACCTGAATGCTTTCTCAGGTTGCCTCAAGCGCTCTAAAATTAATCTTTGAAAAGCTTCTTTGCCACAATATTTGCCCCAGAAATGATCATGAAAAATGACAATTGCCATTTATGCTTATGGCTTGTTGTGATGGTTAATGTTGTGTCATTATTCCCCTCGTGCTGTGCAGTTTTTCTGTAGTGCCTCACCCTGGCCTCTCTTGTGCTTTAATTGTAAGCAAAGGTGGGGAGGTTTTTTTGGTCCTTTCTCTGTACAGCATTAAACAGAACATGGTTACAAGAACAGTGTCTCAAAACTAATGCACAGTCTGGAAATAAAAGCAAAAAATTACCAGCTGCCAGAGACTTACTTTTTAATCTTATGTGAAAAAATAAAAAACTGAATCTAGCTATTAAACTTTAATTTGATTGTTATCTAAGGGAAATAACTTAATAGCAATAATTTTTAGCTTTTAAATAATTCTCAAATGGAATTAGGCAATTCTGCTTAGTTAGTTGTTCATGTAAACACTCTTACCAAAGATGATATGGCTTTTTATGTTATTTCTTTTAGGAGTCCTACCTATTTGATTCTTAATCATGAAAATGCATCTCTTCACACCTGAATCAATGTGAAGATCAGAATAATATATAACACTATGTAATAATGTCTTTTGCACTTCATGTTATGATCATATGGCTCCAAAAGGTATTAAGAAGTCTAGGCTACATTTGCTTTGTATTACACAGTATCAGCAAAACAGCTTTCCAAGGGGTGAATCTGCACCTCTCATTCAGTTTTTATAGTAAAATTAATCTCAGTGCAACGTAATCTTCTCACTTGGCCAAGGCTATTTATGAAGTTTACTGGAAAATTCAAGTTAAGCACTCCTCTCCAGAGGCTGCCTGATTTTTCATTTGTTGGAGCTTTGTTTAGGTGCATGCCTTTGCCCTCCAGAGCCATGGGGACTGGGTATTTTGCATTTGCTGACAGGAGGCGTTGCAGCACGGATGTGCTCTGTGCTGCTGCTTTTCTAAACACTGGAGTGTTTTCCAGAGACTGAGTTACAGCACCTCTGCACAGAGCTGAACCTGTCAAAAGGGAGGGCACAGATTGTTTCTGCAATAATCTTTTACTGAAATAATAATAATAAGTACTTAATATCTTGCCTCTTTGACTATGGAGAGTAGAAAAAAAATCATGTCAGTGGAAAACCAGACACCATGTGAACTATCCCTTGCTCTGCATGCAATCAAAGAGAGCACTTTGGTTTTCAAGTTCACAGTTTATGTATCTTTGTTTAAAAATTTTCAGTGAACTCTTAAATACCAGTAATTCAGTTCCTTTTGGGTTTTATAATTGCACTTTTTTTTCCCCTCAGAATCGATAATTGCTGAGGAAAGGAGCAATTTTTAAGCGATCAACACTTTGACACTTCCTTCTGCAAACCCAACCAGCCATCCTGCCAAAAGCAAAAGCTGCATTTATAGAGGTACCACCTAATGCAAAAATGCCTGTCTGCCTGATAGGGTAATTTGTAACTCTTTATAACCTAAGTGTGTGTGCTAGATGTTGAGCTAATTAGCCATGTGTCTTTGAGGGAGCATGCCAGTTTTTTATGACACAGATTTCTCATTATTTGAGCAAAAATAGGGACTTCAATGTGTGTATCTCTACCCTGGAGAATCCTGTGAGCATATTCCTTGAGGTTGACAGGCACACAAACACTTTAAATCAAAAAACAAAAAAGAAAAAAGCTGTAAAGCTCAATGTGGAATGTAGATGAATGATTCTGCATTTTCTATTTTGAATTATTGACTTGTTAAATTGTATAAGAGCATGAACTTTATAGCCACTTATGCAACTAAGCAAGAAGACATTAAGAAAAATAAACAATTTGCAATTGCTCTGTTTTTTGAACTAGACAGTAGTGTGGGATTAATAGCTGTCACTGCTGCATTGATACAAAAATGTCTGGTGTGTAGCCATAAAGATGAAAGTAAACTTCTGAATGTTTTTAGTGCTGTAGATTTCTATAATTTTAGAAACATAAAATTTATTCAATACAACTAAAAATAAAGGGAGTAATTCCACCCATTAGTGCATTATATAGGATCTGCCAGCCTGAAAAGAAGCCAGGTTGGTATATTCAAGTCACTCCCTAAGATTTGATAACATAAAATAAATAAGAGGTTCTTTGTGTGGGAGGCCTAATGAAAATTGGTCCAGAGCTGTTTTACAATATTACCATTTAGTTTTCAAAAGGTTTAAGAAACAGTGGATACAATATATAACAGGCTGTCATTAACTCTGAACTCTGACTATGGACTGCATGGAGTGCCAGTGCACATCCACTGCCTCTGCAAACAGCACTGATTCCTGGAATCTCTTGAGTCTCCTTTTCCCTAACTTTGAATTGATGTTAACGCCACACAATGCACAGTGGCCCCCTTTTTCATGACAGTGAAGTTATACTGGCTTCATTGTTTTCCCATAAATATACAATATTTATTCCTAATTTTTACAGAATTTAGCACCTGATTGTTTTCTCTAGCAAGGTTTAGCAGTGTGTAAATCAGTAGTTCAGAGTTATAGGATGAGTTTTGTCTTTACCATTGCCTCTCTGCAGATGTTAGCCAAGAATCCAACTTGTTGGTTAGATGTTTTAATAGTTTAAGATCACTTTAAGTTTAAAATCACTTCCTCACCTCAGGAGAGCAGTGAGGAGGTGGTGAATCCTGATCAGCCCTCAGTTAACTGGGAGCCTGAAGATTCAACCTATAAAGGAGTCAAGATATTTTGTGGATCCACATTTATTAAAATAGGTGCATACATCTCTTATTTGAAATAAATGCTTAGGGAGAGAATGAGATTGAAAAGACAATCCTGGACTCAGCCATAGTCTACTGCTTATAAAGACATGAAAAAGAACATAGAAGGTAGAAAAAGGGTGATATTTATCTGTGAATTTTAATTCTAGTGAGGGTGATATTACTGAGTAATAATAAACTGAAAAACTTGAAAAGAAATGAATAGCTGAAAAAGAAGATTTGAAAGAAAAATTTCATGAAAGGAAAAACCCAACACATACTTCAGTTATGTATTTGCTGGGAAATTTTGTGTTGAAATTAAAAAAATAATAGGCAGTTCTATCTGGGTTTTTTTTACTGCTGGCTGCTCCTTGAGAATCCCAAACTAAAGAATCACCTTTTTGTTTACTGCTCAGGAAGAATAACAAATATTAAGAATAGCAAATATTAAGCCTTGAAACATCTAAGTAAATTACCTTGTGATTTTTTTAGGGGAGGCGAAGAGGTAGGGCAAGGTGTCCCTGGATATTTTATTTATCTCTCTCCTCTCCTCTGTACAGCTTCTAATGTGTAAGATTCCCCAGTCAACCCAAATATAGATGTCATGTCCTCTGCCATATTCACCTTGAAATTCATAGAAATAGAGTTATTTAGTTACTGGATAAAAAGTAAGTTTTCTTCAGATATATTACTTCCTTGAAGTTCTTGTGGTGCAATACTTGTTTGATACAAGTTCTGATAGCTGTCATATTAAGCATATAACTTGAATTACTGAAACATCTATGTAAATTCTAGGATAAAGATTTAAGGTAAACTCCATGGAAGTTAATTCAGACTTGGTATAAATATGCAGAATTTTACCATATGTAGTTCACTTAAAGGTAGGTCCAGAACAGTTTTTTCATAAGACAAATTTCTCATTTTATGAAGTACAGTAATATTTACTGTGGTGTCTCACAGCATGGTGATAAAAAATATTGTAAGAGTATAAGAAGCTCATCTTTACTGTAAAGGGTCTATGATCAAATTATGTGTACAGCTTTTTGGTGAAAGGTACAGTAGCTATTGAGAAGGTTTCTTAGATATTGAGAAGATCTTTCTTAGACAGCTGACAGTCATTTTGTTTTGGAAAACATCTATACTGTATATATTTAATTCCACTGTGCTAAAAGTGTAAATAAGAACCACACAGGTTGATAAAATTTCCTGTGAACCAAACAAACAAGTGAAGATGTGGGAGGTGCCACCGCTCCAGAATTACCTGACTGCCACTGACAAACAGGCACCATGAATATTCACAGCACAGTGGTTTTGTGCTCCCTAATAGAATAGTTTAACTTCTGCTCTATGGATTTTGTCTTAGAACATGATTTATGATTCCCAAGAATTTATGGTTCCTACAATGAAGAACGTTTCTGTACCCAGGCTGGCAGCTCTCTCTTGGTGCTGGTTGTATCAACACCTCCCTGCTGGCAGCGCAGCTCCCCCGTGCAGCAGACATTAAATAACATGTACTTTCACTGCCATCAGGGGTGAACAAACCAGCGTGATTATCACCAGCTTCCTATAGCAAAGTTAGCAAACAAAAAGAAGAAAACATGTAAGCTTCGAACAGCTTAATAAAGGGGAGCAAGGTAAAACAAATGTAAATGCAAGAGCTGGAGAGAAAGCAGATAAATTCCTGCTCATTGTCAGGGAGCAGGGTGTGTGTCAGTCTGTGCTGAGATAAAAGAAAAATAGCAATTATTCAGGTACACATGAAAATAAAGCAACACTTCCCCCTTACCCACCTACAACAGTGAGTTATGTGCTTTTTAAAATTTTTGTCTCTGTTCAGACCCTTGAACTATCTTTCTCCTGTAGCCAAAAACTGCCCTCACAAACCCACAAAAGTCAGACAAAATAAGTTCCAGTGTGAAACACCTGAGCATGTTCCTTCCAAGGTGTGTACTCTCCTGAATTTTGTGGGCTACTTACATGATTAAATATGTACTCCAATATTTGGATGAACGGAGGTGTGGGTCATTCCAACAGTTACATTAAATAATTTCTATTCCAGCAAACTCTATGTGCTTGGAAAAAGGAAATTAAATACATGTAGCAAACATTTTAAGTAAATGCATCTTAAGCTGTATGAAACACAATGTTAAATAAACAGTAACAGTTTCTGTGATTCCAGCAATGATTTTCAAAGGGATTTAGCTTTAATTTTGGCTGCTGTTCAATATGGGATTGGGAAGATAATGAGCGTTTTTGGAAATTTGACTTCAGTTGCATGAATGGGACCCTTCTGAAATTTCTCAAATGACGCTAAAATCCCAGTCCTTGTGGTGGTTTGAAACTTTAACTCCTGAGATGCTGTACAGCAGGTACAAGCTGAGGGAGTGATGAGGAAAATGTCGGTTCTGTACTCTGCAAACCAATACCATAGAGATGTGATTTCAGCCTGACCCAAAACAAGAAACAGAAAAGAATCACAGTCCAGACACTGTTCAGAAAAGGCTCAGCACGGTAACTTTCTCATCTAAAGTAACTCCTATGGTAATAAGGAAAAATGTAAGTAATAGTTAATGGTTTTAAAGGAATTCATCAATATTTGAAAACATCATTGTTGTTATGGGAGGTATTTAAAGCATGTAACTTTCTCTTAGGAAATCAGAGAGATTTTTGTTCCTCACTAAATATTTAATCAGAACAGATAAAAAAAATCTGTTCAAAATCTCCTTCAAGCCACTGGAGGATGAGTACTTCCCCATCCAAATAAATAGTTAAGCTGTAATGTAGCTTATCTAAGCCACACTAATAAGCTATTAGACTGGTAATACAATTCAAATCCTAGCAAGTGTAAATTAGGCAGACAGCTTGAATCCTTATTGAATACTAAGATTAGTAATTTGTTTATGGAAAGCTGACTATAAAATTATTTAAACTATGCATATTGGAACATTAATATGCATAAAAAGGAACGGCATTTCAAAAAATCACCAGCTAATTAGGTAAGCATAATATTTTCTGTTTTAAGGTTAAATATTTCCTTATGAAAATGGCAATTATAATGCAAACATTGCTTACTTATTCTGTAAAATGCTAAGGAAACTGTGATATAGGTATTTACAATCTGACCCAGAGCACTGTGTTATGACCTGTTCTGTTGGCTGTGTTGGTTGACCCAGCTTATTTTTAAAGTTGTTCTTTTCTGCAAACACCAGGCTGCTCCACCAAGAGAATTCATTGTCTGGTCTGATTGTCAGTCTTGAAACCATCTTTTCCAATACTTACCTAAGATGTCTTACTACTAAAAAGCCTCAGAATTATTGAATTATTTAGGCCAGAATTATTGAAGCCTCTGGGGGTACAAGAACAACTGGAAAGCAGGGTCACTACATAACCATCTGTGCAGGCCTCCTCTTTGTTATGAAGGTTGGTCAGCTGGTCAACACAATCAGCATCAGCCAGAAGAGCTTGAAGAGGAAGAAAGATGGGTCGGGTCAGAGAGTAGAATGTTTTTTTCAGATTGTCTGGTTCTGATGATTGTTCTGTAAGATGTTTAGAGAACTGGCCAAAGCTTGTTATTAACAACTATCTTTGACACCCTGTGTCGATGGGTGAAGTCTGAGGAGCCGGGAAAGGGACAAACATTGTTATTGAGAAGGAGGACAGAGAGAATTACAGCCCTGCTGCTTTAACATCGCAGCAGCCTGGGATATATACAAGTTATTTCAGAGCACTTGAAAGATAACAAGGAGACAAGTAGCAGCCTCTGTGGACTTACAGAGAACAAATCATGTCAGATGTAAATGGGGTCGGTTTGGAGGCGGTCACTGCAGCGCTCGGGCGGCAGCAGAGGGAGCCGGAGCGGCACCGATCGGGGCTGGGGGATGGAGGAGCAGCGACAGCTGCTGGGAACGGGGCTGGGGCGATGGAGGATGGAGGATGCAGGGACAGAGTATCGTGGCCAGGCTGCTGGAGCCCCTGATGAATTTGCAGTTCAATCAGCATCATCAGTTATTTCTGCCCGTGATAGGGCTTCTGGCCCTATGTGAGGTGTGAAGGTTTATGAAAATAGTAGCCAGCAATCCTCCTGTACCCTGCGATAGTTATGACAAATTCACTTCAGTTTTGCAGAAGCAAATGAATAGAAGGTTGGAGAATGGGGGGGGTATCTTCCTGCTGCCCACTAACTGATTTACGGACCCTGTATCTTAGTTCTAATATGAGTGATTAAAAATGCCCAGAAGACTAGCAAAATATAAATCGATGTTTAAAAATCAGCCGTAGATAACTTCGATTGAGAAAACACACAGCTTCTCTGCAGCATGAGAAATGATAGGATTAATGTTTGTGCTTTTCATCTCCCCCTGCTTTGGTCTCAATAGAACTTTAAAGTAATTCTCAGCGGATCACACTCGTGAAACAGTAAATAAGCAGGAAAGGGTGAGTCGTCCTGACGCAGGAGTGTCTTTTCCAGGCTCAGTCTCAGCCAGGGCAGCGCTCGATCCCTCTGGGCGCCTCTGCACCCTCACTCGCACCCGTGACGCGAACGGGCGGTTCATTAACGCGGGCAGCTCATGAACGCGCTGCTCCCGTTCGAACCCGGCGTGCCGGGGGCGCGGTGCCCGTGGCCCATGAGCTGCCGGGGGGCGATGGGTGTGGGGCTCACCCCGCCCGCCCGCCCTGAGCTCGGCCCCGGCCCCGCCGGGCCCCGTTGAGGGCGGACGGGCGGGCGCCCCCTGGCGGCCGCGGGTGGCTCTGCAGGCGGCTCCGCCCCCCCGGCCCGGCCCGGCCCCGCCCGCGCGTTGCCCGGGGAACGCGGGCCGGGAGCAGCCGGGCGGCCGCTGCCTCCTGCATCCCTCCTTCCATCCCTCCTTCCTTCCCTCCCTGCCGGCGCCCGCAGCGGAGCGGCGCCCGCACCCGCGCGCCCCGCCGCCATGCCCCGAGCCGCCCCGCTCGTCCTGCTGCTGCTGCTCGCCCTGGCCCAGCGCCGCGCCTGCCTCCCCGCGCCGGCCAGCGCCGCGCCCCCGGGCCGGGACCCCTGCCTGAGCCAGCCCTGCCGCAACAACGGCACCTGCTCGCCGCTGCCGCCGCCGCGCCGCCTACAGCTCATCCTGCCCCAGCCCTCGCCCGGCTACAGCTGCACCTGCCCCCCGGGGGTCACCGGCGACTCCTGCCAGGTAAGGGGCGCGCCCCAGCGCCGCCCGCCCGCCGCGCGTCCTTGTGCCCGTCCCTGCCCTTGGGTGTCCCCGCGCTGTGCGGGGACACAGCGAATGTCCCTTCCCGCCTCCCCATGCCCCGTCTGCGGGCGGCTCTGCCCGCCCTGCCCCGCTCCGCACCCGCCGTGCCCCTTCCCGTCCGCGTTCGCCGCCCCGCCGGTCCCGGCCCCCCCGATGCCGCCGCCGGAGCCGTTCCTGGTGGCCCCGGCGCTCCCCGAGTTCCCCGAGGGGCTGCCGGCGCTGTGGGCTGGGAACCGTGCCGTGGGTTGCGCTCCCGAGCCTGGAGCTGCTACCGCGGGCATGACAGGGAGCGGCGGCGTGCGAGGGGCTCGGCCAGGTTAAGAGAGGATGGGGCTGAGCCCAGCCGGTGCCTCTCAGGTTAATGTCAGTACTACAGTCAGTCCTCGCAGTTTATTCAGCATTGACTTACTGTAAGGTGAAAGGGATGGTCCTTGGAAGCGGATGCTGTACTGCACTGAATGCTGATCCTTAAATCGTATCTCCAGGGGTCATTTTCATAGGCTAGGAATGCTCGCTCCCACGTTTCGGGTGCCTTTTGGATTGATTTTGAATTCTGAGAGGTCGGAATGCTCAGGGTAGGGATAATGGTCTAAAATACAGAGAGGCAAAAAGCAGTATCTTTCTAATGCTCTTGGTCATACTGGGATTTAATGCGATAACATAACTGAATGTAATTATTGTCACATGAAATTGTGATTTTTTTTTTTTCTCTAGCATTAAAGATGACAATCTTTGTTATCATGCTCAGAAATTCACAAAAACTTAATCTCCCCTCTCTCCAGATAAGGAAAAGCAGGTGCAGGGACCCAGGTTTGTTTCCTTCATGTGTATATGCTGGGTTACTTTCTGTGAGAGCAGCGTACAAAAGCCTGAATGGATTGGCGACCACTGCTTTGTCAGTGCTCTCGCTTGTAAGTGGATCTCACAGAAGCAAATGATTTCAAGTAATTTCAGTCTGCTTTTTAGGCTTTATTTTATTGTTCTTTGGTCACGTAGTATCTGAATTATACCGCTGAATAGATGAAAGGGATAATACGTTTACTGAAGACTTAATGTGTAGGTGAGTCTGAAAGTCATTGTAAAGTAGGAGCACAGAGTTCTGTGCTTGCCTTGAAACGCCTCAGCTGGTTCAATGTAACAATGAAAGTAAAAATATTTACACTAATAAGTTTCTGTAAAATCAGAGAGATGAAAGTGGATTAAATAGATTTCTCTTTGGCTAATTTTAGATCTTGTCTTCTTAAGAGTTTACTATGTTTCTATTGCTGCAAAGAGAGAAAGAGAGCGCTGTGTGTTTGCTTCTGCTTGTTGTGAGATCCATGACTGAAAGATTAATGACCCTTTTGAAGACCTAGTAAAAGGTAACACTTGTGCCATCACACCTCCTGTGAAGTGTTATGTCTGGGGAACTGAGTTTAATTGTTTTTTCTAATAAAAGAGAGGCAATATGTTCATAGCAGTTATGCTTTTTGTTAACTAATAAGAGGAGGCTTACGGTGTTATACATTTTGTTTCCTTTATATAAAATACCAAGTAATGACCCTTGCAGGGAATACTGATAAATGAATGCCACTTCAAGCTTTCAAGTCAGCAGCTGAAGTATGGATACCAGGTAGTTATGAAGTTAATATAGTTTTGAAATGTAACTTTAAGTAGGGACCAGGCAGGGCTTTTTAAAGGCATAATATAAACACAGTACTTTTGAGGTTTTGTTCATTTTGTCAAAATAGGGAATAAATAAATATTATACAAATGCTTTATTTCTTGGGTTGCTCTGTCATTCAGATATCTAAGACCTTAACAGATACTTAATGGCTTAAACTCCTACAAAGAAAGGCATAAACAGTCATGTTTTCTGATTCAGTGACAATGAATAATCATAAGGATTTAAAAGCGACTATAAGGATTTTTTCATGTATTCCTAAGAGTTATGAGAAAACTATTGACTTAATTAGGAGATCACTGGGATATAACTAGACAGAGGTTTTTGTCTTAATGTTGAAGTTGTTACTGAATAGTTGGACTTGTAGAGGAGAATGCAAAGAGGGGGAAAAAAGAACAGAAATTATTATGCTTAAATACTCAGATAATGGAAAATATGTTTGAGGTTTTGCAATTTGTGATGGAGCTGGATTTCTTTGGGGATCCTGCTTCTCTAAAAAGACAAAAATACTTTCATGTTACTTCCTGTATTGAAGGCAAGATTTCAGTAATTCTGTTCAGATGTGTTGAGATGTTAGAATGAAGACAAAATGTTCTGAATGTGCCCATGAGTCAACTGGGCACGGTGAAGCTGATAATGCAGAAGGATTGCTGTGAGACAAACTTGGAGATTGCACATAAATTTTACTCCTGAAGATTCTACCATAACTGGCTTTGATGCATCTGTGTATGCTGGTGCTGGCATGGGAAAAGAATAAAACTGAGATCACATACGACTGAGATACTTCTAAAAGTCCAGAGCTTTCCTGTCACCAAGTAACGTATTTAACTTAGACAAGCCAAGTCCATGATTTCATCTGAAAACTGCTTTAGTAACTCATTATTTATTTAACAACAGAAATTATAGGTTCTTTTAGTACATCTATGCCATGAATTATGCATGTGTGTATATCTTACATTATTTATGGCTTGAATATACTTTGCTTTGCAAACTTGAGGCGTGTTTTGTTATGGATTTTGGTTTCACATTGTAGGACATTGCTCTGTTTTACCACCATTTTTGTTCATGGTTGTGAATTTTTTCCCACTTCCCTTTACCACACTTCCAGTGTCTGTAAAGAAAAAGTAGGATTACTGTGTTGAAGTGTTCTAAACGTTGGTCTGAGCAAAGAAATCACATGTATTCCCAATAAAATCGTACAAAAATTATAGTGAATTCAACTGCTTTTCTTCAGGAACTTGAAATTGGCCAATTCTCAGCTTTACACTGAGAGAATTTGATGAAATAAACTGAAATGAACTGAGTAACAGATATTAGTTACATTACCTTTATAATCCCTAAATTTTTATCTATATTTTACTTTTAAAAACAATCTTTAACCTTTATTTCTAATGACTAGTGTAATGACTACTCTGTTATTTCTAATGATGTATGTAATCCAATAAAACTGTTTTCCTTTATCAGGAAAGTTTTATGTAAAGATTAATTTGTATTTGTGGCTTATGAGATAATTTTAGAGACATAAGATACAAAGTAACTAATTGGGAAATGAAAAATTTCATGATCGACTTGGTAATTGGCTTAAAATACAGAAACTGAACTCAGCTAATTGCATTGAATTGCATGATGTTTATTTGATCCCATGCTAGTGCTAATTTCATTAAAAGGCTATCACATGAAGACATTTAAATTATTAATGTATTTTAAAGTACTATCACAGATGCTTTGTTTTA